CCTCAGACTTATTTAGAATATATAAGGAAGTTACGGAGCAACCTCATGGATATTTACTTATTGATCTCACCCAAGGAATCAACGATCTCTTAAGATTTAGAACTAACATTTTTAATTCCGAATATACAGTGTGTTATTCAGAGGAAAATGGTTTACAAAAGAATCTAAAAGCGAACAAACATATATTGTATGTTCTCAAAAAAGCTAACAACAAACTACGGAAGGCAATTATAAGTAATAGCGATAGTGAGTTAGTTAAAACATTAGTAGAGATCGTATTAAATACATTGCAAGGAAATCATAAGGTTACAAAAACACATCTAACAGCGCTCAAAAAGTATAAAAAAGTATTACGCTACCTTTCCTGTCCAAAACGCACATTAAATTCCAAGAGAAAAGTTATAGTTCAAAGAGGAGGAAAAATATTAAGCCATGCTATAAAATAAACATAATTTAAACAAAGTCATTTTGATGATCCCCATCAAATATCAAAAATTAATAAGCGATGAATTAATAAGTTTAAAATGCTTACCAATTTTTAATGATAACAAAATAAGTGATTTTGACAAATTGATTAAAATTCGTCAAGAATTGTCTTCATAACAAAATAAAAAACGTAATAAATTATGGCATGTATCAAATGAACAAAAAGCACCCTCTATCTCAACTCAAACTAATGAATCTCAAACAACTGATTGGATTGATACAAACCCTAGTACTTCAGGATTAAAATTAAAAATTGACTCTTCACTACCAAAAAAGGTTGAGTTACCAGATTTACCATCTGAAAGTGAGGAAGATTTAAACTCGGAAGCAAATGATCACAATCGAAAAATTCGGAATACTTCCTTTGGTGATACTAAAGAAGATATTAAGAAGATGGCAGTTACAAAAGTGAAGCTTAATGCAAAACAACGCAAATTAAGAGTAAACCTAAAAAAATATAAAGAGGAACCATATCCATTTCAAAATCTTACTTATGTAACAGGGCGTGAAAAGTTGAATCGATCGGTTAAAAATTCTGTACAAATAGGGAAAAACAAACTAAATTGGACGTCATATCAATAATTGTAAAGGCTGATTTCAGAAATGGGGTATTTATATGACATGTTTATCACATTGCTCAGCAATGATTCACTAAATGTATTTCCTGATAATGTAAAATGTGCATTTACTAACATTGTAAATATTTCTGAAGATATGAACGATGCTTGGGAAGTCGGTATTACCGATATATATCTAAATAATTACATTAAAAATTCATCTGACAAAGAAATAAATATACCTACAAATACAGAAAATAGTACAACTGAATTTGTTAGTTTAGTAAATGCTGAAACATTTAGATATACAAATGTAACCATGGAGTCAAAAACACATGAAAATGGATTAATTTTTATTTATACTGATATAATCAAACCGAGGATTGTTGGTAGTAAAAGACCCCGATGCCTTCGAGTACTGCATTACAATGGTAAAGAAAAAAATATTCAATTTAAAAATATTGAATATTATCCTTTAGACATATGGTCTCCAAACGAGATATCAATATTAATAACCGATTCAAAAGGTTATAAGAAAAAAGACTTCATTTACCATCCAAAACACATCGTAAACGTACCCAGACGCAGCATAAAATAAAAAAGCCATCAAGAAAGATAAATATTAGTGATATTTTCTCTAAGTCAAAATGAGTAACCTTATTGAATGCATGAAAAGTGAATTGGATTTGTTTGCCCCCCATCCAACGCAAAGCTCTATTTTAAGAACTGAAGAAGTATCATATAATCCAATTGCATCCTTAGACAGCGCTTCTTCAATCGAATTTGTTTGCTTGGGTAATGGTGAGACATATAGAGACTTATCAAGTGTTTATTTACGTCTTGTAGTACAATTAAAAAAAAATGACAACATCGTCATTGAAGGAAACGCCGTTGGTGTAGTAAACAATATTTTACATTCGATATTTCGCAGTTCTTCAGTTTATTTAAATAACATTTTGGTATCGCAGAGTGATAATAACTATCATTATAGAGCGTATTTGCAGACAGTTTTAAACTATGGGAGTGATGCGTCAGAAAGCCATTTGGCCGCTCAAGGATATTATCCTAATTTTGGAAGAATAACAGCTGGTCAATATGTTTACCCATCAACAAATGAAACTCAGAAAAATATATTTAAAAATAGTAATAAGGTTGAACTGTTTGGTAAGATTCATGGAGATATATTTAATCAACCGAAACTGCTTGTAAACAACGTTGATTTAAGGATTAATTTTAACATTGAGAAAACTTCATTTTATTTAATGGAAAACGAAACAGAATCAAATCTGAAGATATTGGAAGCGCAACTTTTTATGAATCATATAACTATCAACCCCAGCATTTTATTGGCCCATCATCATGTATTACAAACAAAAAATGCCATATATCCATTCAACAAAGTAGAAGTAAAGTCATTCACTATATACCCAGGAAACAATACATTATCGATTGATAACGCTGTTATTGGGCAATTACCAATTTTTTTAACGTTTTGTACGGTAAAAAATCGTGCATACTCAGGAAATCGTGGATTGGACCCATTCGATTTTGAACATTTTAAAGTTCAACGATTTAACCTTTTGGTTAATGGAGTTCAAGTTCCTTCTCAGGCCCTTGAGTTTGATTACTTGAACCCCGAAAATCCCCAAAGCGCGCGAGGATATAATGCTATTTAGAGGAAGTGGAATAAAACATTACGATCGGGGTCTGCAAATTACAAAGGAAATGTTTGATAAAAACAGTTTTATATTAGCCTTTGACCTAACTGCGGATCATTCAAACTCAACTGTGTGCTCGAATTTAATTTCTCAATAAGAATCGAAATATCAGAGTTCTCCTTTGAACATGAATACATTACAAATTATTGATTTACTATGTAAGAATACATATACAAAAGCTATTTTTAAAGGAGTTTTTCCATCAGATCAGCTACCCAAAACGATTTCTAAGTTTCCAGCTCTAATTATTGCCAACACTGATACTTCAGATCAACCTGGTACACATTGGATTGCATTCCATTTTAATAGTAATAGGTCAGCTGAGTTTTTTGACTCCTATGGGCAATACCCTCAAAAAAAAGAGTACATAACCTTTTTAAAAAAAAATTCTGTAAAATATTTGTATAACAAACAGCAACTACAAGGATATTTCTCAAATTCTTGTGGACATTATTGTATACTGTATGGCCTTTTTAAAAGTAAAAAAAAATCTTTAAACTGTTTCTTAAAAAATTTTAAGAGAAATGATTTTTTTTATAATGATAAGCTTATTCTGAAAATGTTTAAGAAATATTTTAAAAATAAAAAAACAATTTAATTAAAATAAAATCAATTAATATTGTTTATTGTGGGGGTTCTATATAATCTCTGGTTCAACTTATAATATCTTAACATAATATTAACGGCTTCGTCTTTTAATAGAGGCAGTCTATGACACTGACAGGTATCCGGTCCGACCGAGGCGTCTTCATCGCTCCAGGGACAAAGCTTGTAGTGAAAACCATACTTTGAGTGAATAAGTTCCTTGCCTTCCAAATCCTCCAGTGTAAGGCGTAAATATTCCAGTCTGGTTACGTGCTCCTCGAAGATCATGTCTTCGAACTGCATTAAGAACAACTCAATTTGTTTCGAGTGCATTTTAATAGTTGCTTATTTGGAATGGTTTTCACTCTTTAAGACTGCGCGAACGACTGATGCAGAAGAAAGAATGTTGTGGTCTTATATGGGGTCTTATATGTCCTTATTTACTTTATTTATTTTAAGATATAAATTCGATTAGATCAGGACTATATCTATTCATATCTTTTCCTTTGTATACAATGTGAGAATTACCATTCTCATTTAACTTCCTAAAGGGTGTCTTAGTGGAAAACTTGTTTACATAACTTTTAGGTAAAAATATCCAAATGTTTTCGTTGTCCTTGTCTGTTAAATAAAGAGCTATTTTATTTCCATAAGGTGTTTTTTTCAGTTTGCATCCAATAATCTTATACTCAAAACCAATACATAGATTTTCAAGTTTTGTATAACCAATCAGAGGCTTCAATTCATTAAGGGTTGTTATAAAATCCTGAAGAAATAAAGTAAATTCTAATACGATGTTAAATAAACATTTTGGGTCTAACAAACCATTTTAGAGCTTCGTTGGTCCGGATTGGTTATTATCAGGTAATTTTCAGTTGTGTACTAATTTATTTAAAAGGAATAAATAGCCTTTTATACTCTTGAAGTACTTATGTATATGTATATGTATATATATATAATATATATATATATGTATGTTCAGCGACCACTTTGGGGACACACAAATTTTGGGGTTTCCGTTATAAAACTGAATAAAAGAGGACCCAAAAACTATCCACAATAAATGTTGGAGCTCTTCAAGCTTTCCCACGTTATTTATTTACATTTGTGTATGTAGCGTCTATTTCAGGAACACGAAATATATATTGAATTTTGGGGACTTTGTCCTCAAAATAAACTTTTTATTAAATACATAAATTGGGCACTTTTTATATAGGTATAGAATGCTTATTTCGGGGACAAAAGTACAAGGTTGCCACCTGGTTGAACATATTGCTTATCCCAACGTACACAACGAGGACACTCCATCGAGTCCCCAAAATTATATTCATATAGACCTTACGTTATATAAGTCAATTGAACTTTTTTTTATAAAAAGGCGATTTTCGGGACAACAAATAAAGAGACCCCAAAATTATATTCATATAAACTTTAAGAAAATAAATAAGTTTTCCAACTTAGAGGTCGCTTTTGACAGAATCATTGCATTGAGAAATTTTTTGACATCCACCGAGGTACTCAAATAAAGGATTTAAACATGTAACGCCGTGTAATTTTTGCAATTGTTTTTAACTTTTTATTTTTGAGCGAAAATGAAAAAAATACACTTACATTTCATTTATAAGTTTTTAAATCATAAAAATAAAAATAACATTCATGAATAACATTCTTTATAATGTAACTTAAAGTTTATATTTTTCTTATTAAGAGAAGATCCAGTCTTGCGCCCTTCAGCTTTTCTCTGGTTGTCAATCCAAGACTTGACTTGCTGGGGTGTTCTATCCTTAAGATGGGGATTCCTATTGATTACCTTGATGCATTTTTTTAACGAAGGTAATTTTGAAATTTGAGCTGGTTCGCCAAACTCGATGGCCAAGGCGTTAATTTCTTCAGCAGTCCAGCGTTTTCGTTGAATTTTTCCAAAAGAAGATCCTAAAAAAAGGGTTTATTAAAAATGTTATTAATTTTATTCAAAAGCTAAAAATAATATTTAATAATTTTAGCGATTTTTAATCTTAGAAGGTTTTAAATGCAATTCATTGCAATACATACTCTTTTTTTCGTTGTTTTTAAAATTTTGGAGAAACTCGTCATCGGATCCACTTTCAGATTTGTTGTCCGAATAGTTTGACCCGGAGTCTTCGAAATCATCTACAAAATATAAACAACTATATTTATAGTGCTTACAAAAAACATAATACAAAATAATTCTGATTTTAATAAATTAATTTTTACATAGATTATATTTAACGTAAATAATTAATTTCATTCTTTATACTCGAACATACTGGTCAAAAAATATGTGCTTTATTCTTGTAAATAATTAATTAATTTTAGTCTTAACATAAATCACATTTTTTTTGTTGCACAAAAAATTGTATTGCAAGATTGTGTAATTGTATTGATTAGAGCCAGATCAACCACAAACAATTATCACCGTTAAAAAGAAGTTATGATCATAAATGTTAATAAATATGTAAGCCACTGGCACCCATTAACATTACTCACTATTTGTTAACGGAACAGGAATAGATTCATCCTCTGGATCGTCGTTTCCCAAAGCTGCCATTAGCATTTTTGACACCTCTGTAATTTCTGCTACTGATACAGGTATGCGGTATATGCTCTTGTGTATATCCTTGTGGTGTCCCACAAAGTTTGCAAGTCTGTCTATTTGCATATCTTCTACATTTAACAGAGAGGTATACGTAGCTAAATGTTTTCTGAGCATAGTACCTCTTAAAGCCATTGGACATCTAGCTCCACACCTTTCCGCAAACATTTTTAAAATGGGACACGCCCTTACATAAGGTTTTGCTAAGGGCTTACAATGGGCAACGCTGAATATATAGATGTTTGTTTCTTTTACGCCAGCCTTTTTTCTATACTTTAAAATAGTCTCTATACAAAATTTATCAAAAGGCGTAAGAAGCACTGGAACCGTTCTATTCAGCTTTCCGCGAATTGTTAGTCTTGTATATTTATTGGCAATCTCTTGTGATTCCTTTGATAGGGATGCGAAATTTTCAAGGTCCATATTTTCCTCAATGGCGTGGCCAGTGTTATAATTCTCAATAGTGAGTCGTTCAATTTCACCAGCTCGTCGTCGATTAAAAATTTGCAGGGCGATAAGTGTACTTTGAATCAAAGAGTTCCAGGCATTTAAATCAAATTTATTTTTTAATACGTGAAGAGCTTTTTCTGAGTTGTTTCTGACATAATCAAAAAGCTTTTTAATATCTTCCTTACATGGAAGAATGGTTCGTGCTGAACGTTTGATTTTCGACTGATCCTCACAAGCTTTTTTGTTTATAAAAATCGGAATTTCAGTTTCCCATAAAACTAAAAAATCTTTTACTGATTTTTTTGATCGTCATTCTGTGTTTTTATGCTTTGTGCCAGTAGTCTGTAGGCGCATTTTTTTATTAACGCGGTGAGGTTAGTCGCTACCGAAGGCGTTTTAAAAAATTGAGTGGTTGAATCCCATTTCGCAACAGAACGAATGCAGCATACAAGAACGTCTAAATGTTTCGGTGCAATGGCGTCTTTGAGCTCTCGAATGTCTTCAGAATTTTTCTTTAATTCCATAACCAATCTGCTAAGCAACCTTATATTCGCTCTAATCATGTCATATTGAAGTTCATTGTGGCGGAAGCATTGTTCATTTGCATATAATATTATAAGCTCATCGTAAAGTAGGTTTCGTGAAATTTCGTCATCATTTAACACCGGCAATACTTTTTCCCGTAGAACATCGACAGCAGAGTGATGGACAAATCCTGTTTTGGCACGACCATTCTTAAGTAAATCACGAGTTCCTTTTTTGTGACTACTACCAGGGCAGTTTTTTACATGGCTGCGCAAAGTGTTCTTTGGAAAGAACCCACAACAAAATTTGCAGCAAACAAAATCAGCAGCTTGGTTTTTTGAGTTTTTTTGTTTCTGTCGAGGAACAATCAAAATGCCTTTGTTGAACTGTTTATCTGTGTTAAACATGAAGTCGCCTTTCTTTCTGATTTCATCAATTAATTGTTTCCTTATTTTGTCATTTTTTGGAAGACAATTAAATTTCCTCACTGAGCTCTCATTCTTATGAACGAGTTGCAAATGGCGTGCAAATTTTGTTTGCAGTTTTTGACAGAACATACAAAAATGTTTTTTCGATTTTTCTATCAATTTTTTGCTTGGAATAATCAAGTCTCTTACGTCATATAAAGGAACATCAGGCTTATAAGAAAAATTTTGAGATACCGCGGTATTATTTAAAGAGAGATGAGCTCGGAGTATGGGCCTGGGCCTTTTGCGTTCTTAGCAGTGGATTCTAGATTTAGATGCGAAATTTAAAATATTAGTTTTAACTTATTGAAATTTTCTTGGTGCTTAGATATTCTTAGTTTAAATTTAAGAATCTTAAACACAGTCAAAATAAAATAGTTTATCCCGCATTTCTTCTCAATTTTTGCAGTATTCGGTTTTATGAACACTTACAAAAAAAAATCATACAGATCGGACCGTTAAAATGTCAAATATAATAACCTTTGGCTATGTGAAAAACAATATTAAGGCTTTGGATGCATTTTGGCGCGACAGTTCCAGGGAAATTTTATATGTCCATAACTTTTTTTTCTAATTAGCCCTTCGAACATCTTAGAATTGACGCATAGATTATTTTTTAGCCATGTTATTTAAATACTGTCTTAATTCCGATCACTTATTTCCATTTAACTGGATAATTATTTTGAGAACCTTGTTTATGACACATAAAATAAATATAGACTGGACTTTATATTACTTACCTGCAGCCACTTTAACTTTTTTCTTAATATTCTTCACGCGCACACGCAATAACTTTTTGGGACTCACTTTGAAGCTTAGGCGGTTAACAAGAGAATGCAGATCCGATATGTGCATATATGAGTATGTACATTGTACTTTCCGGTCCGAGAAACTTTCGATAATTTGTTTTTATATACAATAATATCCCATTCACACTAATACTACTTTCAATAACGCAGCGCGTTTTTTGTTAATTAATGATTGCACACTGCCGCTAAAATTTGCAACATCGAAAAAGTTGTTGCACCGTGTTAACGTTTAGTACGCCGGTTAGTACAATAATAGTATTTATTTGTTAAGCCTAGTATCCAGATCGACAAACAATTACGCTAGCGTAAAAACTTTAATCTTTCCAGTGTGACCAAACTTTTGAGAGTTCATCAGATTTAAGCGTGCTACGGTCGTACTGTCAATCAGCTGGGTTTGTTGACAAGCAGTTAAAATTCAAATATCGTATTTGCAGGAAAGAGCCTTTAAAAGATATTATCAAATACCTTGGCAAGACAAGTCTGCCGATGTACAAAGAAATTAAAAAACAATACAATTTAAATTTAACAGCTGTTTTTTTTAATTTACTGATAATTATTTGCTAATTTAAAGTTCATAGCTGCACTTTTATTGTGTTTTTTTGTACATTCTGGACCTAAAAAATATTTTGCTCTGACAAGAGGCACCCCAGATGGTATTAATATTATTTTGTCCTCACATGAATCGACTTTTGTGAGTTTTTTGAGTTTTTCCCTCCATTTCTTATAATGTTCAGTGAGAAGCGCACGCCAAAAGATTAAATTTTTTAATCTTTTCGCTAGGGTTGACCCAAAGTTCATTTCCGCAGTTTGCATCTCGCTTTTTCTCATGAAAATCTGGGGATTCGTGATAAATTCCGATTTTATCAGGACAATTATCCCAAGCACACATCGGGAACTCTGCCGACATGGCTCATTTAAAATTGCCCCCATATCATGAAACCATCAGCCTGGTCTCCAGATAATAATGTTATTGATAATTGGTGGGCTATATTGGACAGAAAAATTCGAAAGCGTAAAAATTTCCATAAGACGGACCTAAAAAACGCATTACTCAAAGAATGGGCCAAAATTAGTCCCCAAGTGACTTAAAAATTGGTCGACTCAATCCCAAAAAGACTTTAAATTATTGTTTACACGGAGGCTGGTCATACAAAATATTATTTTATCATTTTTAGTTCTTAATCTTTAAAAAATATATTCTTTTCATGGCTGGTTGAAATAAAATGTGGCATTCATTTTACCTGTTATTTGAGTCTTAAAATCAAAATAAATATTAAAAAAATATTTAAAAATGTAAGAATTGATGAAATAAAAGTTAAAATACAGATCTATAAATCTGGGTTTAAAATGTTCCAATATCCCTCTAAATTTGGCAAATACAGCGATTTAAAGTTTTACTTGAGCACTGGTTGAAATAAGCTGTGAGCCACTGTATATACATATGTATGTAAGCATTACCAACATGTAATGTGACTACGTTTTCATTATACAATACTAGATCATTCATACATTTATTATTATTTTAATTTATATATTTTGTAATTGTTTGCTAAAAACTCAGTTGCGTATTTAAATGGATGTTGTAGAAACGCCGTCTGTCTGAACAATGTATTAGTTTTTGTTTACTTTTGTACATTAGGGCGGACTTGTTTGCCTTTTGGTACCCTTAATTAGGAAATGAAGAAAAATTCTACGTATGTGTGCCATGCCTACTCTAACGCCCACAAACCGCGAAAAACTGTGGCGCCCAAGCTGTACTGAAAACTTAGACTGAAATGTATTTCTTGCTTCGATACCTAAAAACAATTTGACACGCACACTCTAACAGCCAAAATTCCCTTAAAGCATATTAACAAAATCCTGGCGCCCACATCTTTTCAGTTTTTGTTAAAGTGTAAATGCCATTTTGTTTGGTTATTAATAACTGCCGAAACCTAGAAGAAATTTTTTATATCGGGGATCGGAAATGTATGAAAGCATTACGAACATGTAATGTGACTACGTTTTTATTATAAACTACTAGATCATCGATACATTTATTATTATTTTAATTTATACATATATTGTTATTGTTTGCTAGAAACACAGTTGCGTATTTGGATGTTGCAGAAACGCCGTCTGTCTGAACAATGTGTTAGTTTGAAGTTACGTACATACATATGTACATTAGGGCGGACTTTTTTGCCTTTAATTAAAGCATGAAGGAAAATTCTACGTGTCGTATAAATAATTTGTAGTCAAACTTTGTGTCCGTTGCGCACCTCCTAAGTGTTTAAATAATTTGTTTTTGTTTTTGCACAAATTTATTGAACACAGAAAGCTATCATTTAAGATTCTGAGCTCATATGACCTTAAAGAAGGCCACCCTAATATAATTCATACATACCTATGTATGTATGTCTGTAAGCATTACCAACAAACAATATGACTGCGTTATAATTGTACAATAATATATTATCGATACATTTATTTCATAAATTTATTTATGGTATTTGTTTGTTAAAAACACTTTTGATTTTTCTGAACTGCCGTCCCCCTACCCTTGCAGTTCTTGCAATATGTATATGTATGTATGAATGGGAGGAATGTGGGATACCGAGATTATTATTACATATTATTTAGCTTAAATATAGCTTATGTTAAGTATTTTCCACATTTTCATCGACATGGTGAAAAAGTATCATATTAGCCCTCCTTCTTCTATTAAAACGCATGGCAGCAAGTAGGTCTTGCTCTTTTTAATAGATACTAATGGAGTTCTTGTTTCCGCATCGTTAACAAACTTTCAACAATTTCTAAATGATAAAAATTTAAATTATAGGTTTTTAACCTTTGCATTTAAAAAAAAATTTGAAATTTTGTAATTGCTATGTTTTGTATACTATTCGATACATAAGTAAACTCATTAATCAGGAATTAACATAAAAATAACTTTTTTTTATTGAATATTATTGTTGTATTGCCAATTAAAATAAAAAAAAACCCTTTGTTGGAAATTGGTAGTATATAACCAAACCCAAAAAATTAAATAAAATAATTTTTTTTTTATGAAAGTGGAGCAAAACTTTGCCAACTATCTGTTTCTCTTGGTTGCCATTAAAGATTACTTCAAATAATTTAATTATTTGTGAAGTCCCCAAACAAGACATTGATATGGTATGCAAATTAGAAAGTATAGGGGGTGCAGGAGATGAATTATCAGAATTCCCTCGCTGCTGTCTCCAATGGATGTTAGCTGGTTACTCCGTGTGCGGCCGGTTGGCCTGGTACCTCCAATGCTGAGATAGGAAGGTTAGGTTGGAAGGTTGACTTCCCTTCAATACTGCTGGCCTAGGGACTCAGTCAGTGTAATAATTAATAAGTGATTTAACGACTAAGTGTCGGAGATTCATATGAGCTTGTGCTCTTGCTTTATTGAATGACAATTATGAACTGAACTTAAGAATGAAACTTAGAGCTAACAAAAGACTCACAGCGGCCACGCAAATATGCAGTGTTTGCCGTCTGTGCACGAGCGTCCGGCCCAAATGCAACATCAGCAATTTCGGCCGGAGTTGGATAAGGGACAGAAATCAATGCTTATGTCATTGACTTCTGTCAGCTTATGTTAACTTGTTAACTACTCCCCCCTCAGAATTAAGGCCGCCCTCGGCCGGCGCTATCTCGGCAATGACTTCCTTCAGTTGGGCTGCCGATCTTCTGGCCTTGAAGAAATGCAGATAGACCATACCGACACAGATCATCGCACAACAGAATACGCCCACGATCAGTGATATGCGGTACGTCTGGTTGGTGTCGATGTTTTTGTCGAACTCCTTAATAAGCTCCACGTTACGTTCGTTTAATCGTTGAAGGTAAGGGAGGCTGAGCACATCTTGATTGAATGTGATGTTGAGCAATGATGATCTTGCTACCCCTGGAGTTCTCGTGTGGGCCTTATCGTGGTTGACGTAGAGGGTTTCGTTGATGAAGACATGACTCTCGAAGGTAACGAGGTGCGTACCGTGTACCCAGACTTCAGTACCGTTGTCTACTCTGACCTTAGCTGTTTGGTCATTGATGATGAGGATTCCTTCATCAACTCGAGTGACGGGATGTAGGTCACTTGGCTGGGTTGCGCAGTGTGCCAGTACGCCTGCATGGAGTTCTCTAGCGCATGAACTGTCTGATGACGTTTGACAGAACGTGGCTCCCGGCGATACGGCACAGTTCCTAATCGTATGGACTTCTCCACCACACATGGCCACCACGTTGTCCATTATTCGCAGCATAACATTACGGTGAGTGACAGGGAATATAGTGACCTTTTTGCAAACGTTTTTAATCTTTGGAAATTTAATTATAAAGTGAAGGGCATTGGTAGATTGTAAAATTTTTACGGACGCTACGGACATAAGGTCCCCTATGGGGGTATTAGTGGGTTCCTCAAGCCAAACTGACTTCAGGTCTGTGTGATCGAGTATATTGGGGCTGACAATATTAGCTTTAGCAAGTGTAATGGCAAGCATCAAGTTTTGCAATTCCATCATCAACATTCTATTCCTGGCCAGGAGTGTTTCATATAGATGGCCAGTGTCGACTTGTGAGTCTTTAGAAGTTTTAAGAATTTGATTTACTGTAGTGGTTAATTCATTAATTTTATCTTGAACTTTAGTGTTGATTGCTACCTGTCTATTATTTGCGTTAGTCAGCTGCATCTCTATGAATCTCGTCTTCTCCAAATCACCGGCGTCCGGTGTTCCTGCTACTACCTTAAGAATTGACCCCAGAAAGTCTAAACTTCTAGCGATCCTATGGTGCACGCCCAACGATTCCAGTAGGTCTCGTATGTGCGCGGTGTCTACTTCCAGCAATTTTTTCATATGCGACTGTGGGAACATGTCACTCATGCTTGCTGTTTCGTCAAGTATTCGCATGTATTCCGAAAGATTTGACGTGTGTGTTACGTACGCAAATTCCTCCCATACCAGCACTTCGCCATCAATGATGGGAATGTATTTTGCTTGCGAATAGTCAGCAATGTGCGCCGACGCCAATGACAGGGACAGTAGGATGATAAAACCGCACCTGTGGAATGAACCTTGATTACGTATAGTTCCGAAGATGTTTAAATTTTCCTCCACCAAAATTAATCTAACTTAAACCAGGTATGGCACTGAGGCCTATGTAAGTAAATAACTTGCCAAGTGGCT